AGACAGAGTCTCACTTTGTTGCCCTCGGTAGAGTGCCATAGCATCACAGCTCATAGCAACCTCCAACTCTTGGCCTTAGGTGATTCTCTTGCCTCAGCCTCCTGAGTAGGTGGGACTATAGGCACCCATCATAATGCCTGGCTATTTTTTTTTTTTTAAGAGACGGGGTCTCACTCTTGCTCAGGGGTCTCGAACCTGTGAGGTCAGGGCAATCTACCTGCCTCAGCCTCCCAGAGTGCTGGGATTACAGGCATGAGCCACCACACCCAGCCTGGACAGATATTTTTTAAAAGAGATCAGTGTTCTCCATAAGTACTATACATATAAAGCAATACCAAATCAGATCATTTTATTCTGTACCTGAGGCAAAAAAGCTCTCGATTCCTGAATGGATGTCTTCACTGGTTCCCCTGCGGAATGAGAAAGAAAAATTATTTATAATGCTGAAGGAGACATAAGCCCACCACCATGCCGGCTGAATTTCTTTATAACACAACTATTCCCTTCCTCTGCTTTCTTCAGCGGTCTCCTCTCTCCAGCTATACTTAGACCCAGGGTTCCAACCTGGCACTGAAAAAACCTGACCAATGAGAAAGGACAGTCCCTGTGCTACCTGGCAGCTATGCAGAAAAGCTGTTTAAATAGCAAGTAAAAGAAAGTTCCCTACTATCCCTTTCTAAGTGAGGACCAGGTGGCTGGTGGGTTTTTTAACTCAGTGGGGAGACTCTATTAATAATAACCTTACCACCTAACAATACTGATAGCTTTTTTTATGTGTGTTGAAATTGTTAACACCAAAGGGAATAACCTTTGAAAGGGAAAGCTTATGTGTACTGTGTTTGCTAGTTATAGAACAGATGGCCAGGTTTTTATAGTCCAGTGATGCTGAGAGATCATAAAATAAAATGTCAATGTCAAGGATAGGGGACAGTGAGCCTGGCAACCATAGATGAGTCAATTGTAAATTTTTTTAGGTAAATATGACATGATTAGCCCAGGGAGGTGGAAGAACCACCAGGGTTTTTTTTTGTTGTTGTTGTTGTTATTTTTAGAAACAGAGTCCTACTTTGTCCCGCTCGGTAGAGTGCCGTGACGTCACAGCTCACAGCAACCTCCAGCTCTTGGGCTTAAGTGATTCTCTTGCCTCAGCCTCCCAAGTAGCTGGGACCACAGGCAGAACCACCAGTTTTGAAGCCATAAAATGGCTAGTTCAAGTCCTAGCACTATCTTGAGCAAGTTACTTTCTAGAGTCTCAGAAGTTTATGAATCACTAAACTAAGTACAGTAGTTCCTCCTTATCCATGAGGATATGCTCCAAGACCCCCAGTAGATGCATGAAACCGTGGCTAGTACTAAACCATATACATACAGTATATATAACATGTTCTATATATGCATTCTTACCACATACATATACTATATATGACACATTTTATATATGCATTCTTTTTTTTTTTTAGAGACATAGAGTCTCACTTTGTCACCCTGGGTAGAGTGCTGTGGCGTCACAGCTCACAGCAAACTCCAACTCTTGGGCTTAGGTGATTCTCTTGCCTCAGCCTCCCAAGTAGCT